TGAGAATCACTGGAGGTTAGTTATGTGAAAGTGCTTTGTAAACTCTAAAGTGTTCTACAGATATAAGGTATTTTTTTTATTACCTTAGAAGATTTCAAGTTTGTCCTCATTGCCATTACCTCTACTTATTCCTTAGCTCCCTTCTATCTCATCGGTATTTCTAATTTATACATGCCAAATGTAATATTATTATGACTGTTATTCAAATTTTCACAATGCTTCATAAATAATAAATGGTCCTCAGTCTTTTACTAACGAGGGACAGTTCCTATATTTAGTATGCTAATCATGCTCCTGTTCTTTGGTGTAAAGAAATGGAGTAGCTAAGTTCATACATTTCACCTTGTGGGGCATAACTCATTAATATCAATAGCATCCTCAGAAAAATCTCTGCGTAACAAAAACAACTTCACGTTAATAAACAAACAAACAATAAATATATTAATTAATAAATCTCAGAGTCTACTGATAGAATTTGACTTGTGTTCTTTACCTAGTATCCTCTGGTGGCCCGTCAATTCTTAGGCAATGAGAATGTCTGTATTTGGTGGCATAGCTAACTTGTCACAAGGTATTATGACTTGGAAAAATTAATTGCCAGATAGACAAAAGCCCTAATTCTGTTTCAGGTTTTCAAAATATTTTTTCTACCAAACTCCAATATCATCTTTAATAAGTAACAACTTGACAACTTTGAAATATCATTTCCTTTCGTTCTTTTTCCCACCCTTCAGAGGCCTTAACAGAGAGTGACATAACGAAGGCAGGCTAAGCAAAGAAAACCAGAAAAGCCATTAAGAGAAACAACTGGATACAAACTCTCAATAGTACAGTTAACTAAGTTACAAAGCAACTCTCACACCCAAACATGTGTTCTCCAAACTACTTATGTATTTCATTCTTTGACTGACTTAAACCCAGAGCAGACAAGGGATTTGGAGGTTGGAATTTATATAAGCCATTAGAGAAGGTAAGGCTCAGATGAGGAGAAATACTGAGAAGTTTTGATTTTTTTTTTTTTTTTGATGCTATGGTCATTGGGAAGAAAACATTTTTTTAAAGACACTTCTAGTGCTCAGTCTTGGGTGGCTGAATACCACTTATTCCTTAGAAGAAATGGATAAATTCCTGGACACATACAACCTACAAAGATTGAATCATGAAGAAATAGAAAAATCTGAACAGACCAATGACAAATAATGAGATTGAATCAGTAAATCCCATCAAAGAAAAGTCCGATGCTTTCCACTGCTGAAATCTACCAAACATTTAAAGAATAATTAATACTGATTCTTCTCAAACTATTCCAGAAAATTGAAGAGGAGGAAATTAGTCCAAACAAACTCTATGAGGCTAGCATTACCCTGAAACCAAAACAGACAAGGACACAACAACAACAAAAAACTATAGGCCAATATCCCTGATGAACATAGATATAAAATCCTCAGCAAAATACTAGCAAACTGAATTCAGCAGCACATTAAAAAGATCATCCACCAAGATCAAGTGGGATTCATCCAGGAATGTAAGGATGGTTCAACATATGCAGATTAATAAATATGATTCATCACATTAATAGAATGAAGGACAAAAACCACATGATCATTTTAATAGATGCCAAAAATGCATTTGACAAAATTTAACATCCCTTTATGACAAAAACGCACAATAAATTAGGCATAAAAGGTATGTACCTCAACACAATAAAGGCCATATATGGCATCATATCGAAAAGGGAAAAGTTTAAAGATTTTCCTCCAAGATCAGGATTAAGACGAGAATGCCCACTTTCACCACTTTTATTCAACACAGTACAAGTTCTAGCCAGAGCAATTAGACAAGAGAAAGAAATAAAAGACATCCAAATTGGGAAGAAGAAAGTCAAATTATCCCTGTTTGCAGATGACATGATCTTATGTATAGAAAACCCTAGAGACTTCACCAAAAACCCTTAGAAATGATAAACAAATTCAGTAAAGTCACAGGATACAGAATAAACATATAAAAATCAGTAGCATTTCTGTATGCTAATTAATTATCTGAATAAGACATCAAGAAAACAATCCCACTTATAATAGCTACAAAAAACCCCCAAAAAACAAAAACTAGGAATAAATTTAATCAAGGAGGTGAAAGATCTCTACACTGAAAACTGTAAAACACTAATGAAAGAAATTAAAGAGGACACAAATGTATGGAAAGATATTCTGTGTTTATGGATTGGTAGAATTAATATCATTAAAATATCCATAATGCCCCCAAATATCTACAGATTCAATACAATTCCTACCAAAATACTAATGACATTATTCACAGAAATAAAAAAAAAAAAAAAAATTCTAAAATTTGTATGGAATCACAAAAGACCCCGAATAGCCAAAGCAATCTTGAGCAAACGACAACAACAAAAACAAAGCTGAAGCATCACACTACCTGATTTAAAAATATACTACACAAAGCTACAGTAACCAAAACAGCATGGCACTAGAATAAAAGACACATAGACCAATAGAACAGAGTAGAGAGCCCAGAAATAAATCGAGGCATCCACAGCCACCTTGTCAAAGGTGCCAAGAACACACATTGGGGGAAGAACAGTCTCTTTAATAAATGGTGCTCGGAAAACTGAATATCCACATTCACGAGAATGAAACTGGACCCCCATCTCTCACCATATTAAAAAATCAACCCCCAATGAATTAAAGACCTAACTTAAATGTAAGACCACAAACCATGAAACTACTAGAAGAAAACCTGGGGGAACTGCTTCGTGACATTGGTCTGGGCAAGAATTTTTTGCATAAGACCTCGAAAGCACAGGCAACAAAAGCAAAAATAAACAAACAGGATGACATCAAACTAAAAAGCTTCTGTACAGCAAAGGAAAAAATCAACAGAGTTAAAAGACAACCTACAGAATGGGAAAACACATTTGCAAACTACACATGTGACAAAGGATTAATATCCACAACATATAAAAAACTCATACAACTCAACAGCAAAAAACCCCAAATAATTCCATTAAAAAATGGGTAGTCAGGCCAGTTAGCTCAGTTGGTTAGAGTATGGCCTTTTAACACCAAGGTCAAGGATTTGGTTCCCCACACTGGCCAGCCACCAAAAATAATTAATTAATTAATTAAAAAAATCACATTAGACTGTGTTTTTAAAAAATAAAAATGGGTAAAAGACCTGAATGGACATTTCTCAAAAGAAGAAATGGAAATTTCTCAAATAGCCAACAGGTATATGAAAAAATGCTCAATATCACTAATCATCAGAGAAATGCAAATCAAAACCATAGTGAGATATCACCTCACTCATTAACTAAACTGGATTGAGGTGATATATCATTATGGTTCTGACTTGTATTTCTCTGATGATTAGTGATGCTGAATATTTTGGCTATGACCAAAAAGACTAAAGATAACAAGTGTTGAGGATGTAGAGAAAAGGGAACACTTACACACTGTTGGTGGGAATGTAAATTAGTGCAGACATTATGGAAAACAGTATGGAGGTTCCTCAAATAATTAAAAGTAGAACTACCATATGATCCAGCAGTCCCAATACTGAATATATATCCAAAGGAAATGGAATCAGTATGTTGAAGAGATATCTGCACCCCCATGTGTCTTGCAGTACTATTCACAATAGCCAAGATAAGGAATCAACCTAGTTGTCTATCAATGAATGAATGGATAAAGAAAATGTGGTATATATACACAATGGAATACTATTCAGCCATAAAAATAATGAAATCCTGTCATTTGTAACAACATAGATGAACCTGGAGAACATTGTGTTAAGTGAAATAAGTCAGATGTGGAAGACAAATACTACATGATCTCACTCATATGTGGAGTCTAAAAAAGTTGATTCACAGAAGTAGAGAGTAGAATAGGGGTTACTAGAGGCTGGGGATGGTAGGGGAGAAGGGGGATGGAGAGAGGTTGGTCAACAAGTACAAAGTTAAAGTTATATATTTATTTATTTTTTAAAAGATGATGGGTAAGGGGATCTTAACCCTTGACTTGGTGTTGTCAGCACCACGCTCTCCCAAGTGAGCCACGGGGTGGCCCCAAACTTAAAGTTAGATAAGAGGAAAAAATTCTGGTGTTCTATTGCATAGTGGGGTACTATAGCTTCCCATAATGTATTGTATATTTCAAAATAGCTAGAAGAGAGGATTCTAAATGTTCTCACCACAAAAAGACAAAAAATGTTTGAGGTGATGAACATGCTAATTACCCTGATTTGATCATTATACAATGTATACATGTATCAAAACATCACAACGTACCCCATAAACATGTACAATTATTACGTGTAAATTAGAAAATAAAATTTTAAAAAAGAAGCTTTTAGTTTATATTCTGTATTCAGCTGACACTTTTTGTGTGTTTATATTCTGTGAGTGGGGTTTAACTTTTAATGTTGGCTATATTACTTCACATAAAGATGACATCTGTGAAGAAAAATCTACTATATACTTTCATATATTGTGATTACAGATCTCTAATAATGAGTGTTCAAGGAAACCCCTACAAGTTTCTATTTAAGTCAGGAGTGGGCAGGAATAAATGGGGTCACAAATCATTGGCTAATCTCTTATGCACATTTTCAGAACTCCCCAATCCATCTTTGCAGAAAGCTTGCTAAAAAATAAGACAATTGGGCCTGTCCTCAGTGAACCACTTTATTGTATGGTTTGCCTCATGTTAATCTAAGCTTGAAGGACAGCTCTGTATTGAACACTTGGTCATTAGTAAATCTAATGGGGGCCTGTTAGTGTTTGATAAATGTTCATGACTTACCAGCACTAACAAGAAGGACATGCAAGGCCAGCTGACTGAATGATTTCAATGTGCTCAGTATGCTCTCGTCGAAGCAGGCACAAGTTAATTAAATAAAGATATTCTCATGGAGCAGAGGGTGAATCTTTGAGAAACATGGGCTCCAACAATGACAAGTCTTTGGTGGCCAAAGCAAGGACGTACCTTGATTCCCATAGCTGGCTTCTACTCCAGACCCATCCCATGAGTCCACAGCGCTGTCCACACTGGGCACTGTGGAGGGGTACATGTCAGAGAGCTTGCCTGGCTTCTGTGCTGGAGAGGAGTCCTCCTCCACATCTCCCAGGTCACTCAAATGGCTGGGAATGGGGAACTTCTTGGGGCTTGATGCTGACTGGGCTTTAAAGACAGGAAAAGAATTTAAGTATCAAAGTATATTTAAATAAAAAGATGCTCAAGTGTTCTGTGGCTGGCGAGTCATTTCCCTAGAAATACACACATAGACACTAGCACATTCCTTTAGGAAAGGAAATGCACTGGAAATCCTTAATTGTGGCTCTCGACCTACTCACCATCTGTCTGTTTCTTAATTTTCAAGGTGACAGTCTCTCCCGCCATCTGTAACAAATGGATGGCTTCACTCAGAGGCTTCCCTTTCAAGCTGCTGCTGTTGATGGCTAGTATTCGGTCTCCTATGTGGATTGCGCCAGTTCTGAAACAACAAATAGAAATAGAGAAGGTAAAAATAATCCTGCAAGCTATTGAATATAAATTCCCTGACATGCTTTATACATTCATAATAATAAAAGACTTGGCAAGGGTCTCCAGAAGTCACTTCTTTTAGCTTTCTCCTGGGCAGTGTTATAAGATAACCGCATCTGTTGTGAATTACTTTTTAGTTTCCAATAAAATTAGAAAAATTGTTTTAATTAGTTTTTAAAATGGACTTGTGTGCTTTTTAAATTCCAAGAAAGCTGAGTCATTTGGTAACCTTCTTAAAAGTCTCAAGGAATTGAAAAACAAACATAGTGATGGATAGCATGGAACGTTCTTTCTACAGATTTAAAATATTTAACACAGTCAGTACCCAGATCACCAGAAGTGAGGTTCAGAGAGATGGGGACATAGCCAGACCCTGGTGTGGCAGGGTTTCCCCTATTGACAATTCCAGGGATTGAAAAAGGCTGAACACAAGAATAAATTAGCGCTAAGTTTGAATCCAATTTGCCACCCACCAGCTGTGTGACCTGGGTACCTTATTTTAATCTCTCTGGGTGTCAGTTTCCTCATCTCTACAATGGGGATGGTCATCTCATAGGGAAGCTCTGAGGATTAAATAGGAAAACATATGTAAAGGACCTAGCACACTGCTTAAAGTGTGGAAAAATAAAATAAATTAATTTATTGATCAATAAACTAATAAACCTTTGAACTTTTCCCTTCTCTTCCCATCCTCACCCAATTCAGAACTAGCAGGTTGGATTTGCAGTTCTGACATTGGCCACATCTATGTTTGGAAGCACTGGGAGGGGAAGGAGTAGACTCACAGCAGGGAAGCTCAGGGATGGTATAAAAACTGAGATCTCTACACCTGGGCTGAAGCTGTAAGTCTGAATCCCCGGTGCTAGCCTCCTGTTATACCAGCTCACTTCAAATGCAGTGAGCAAAGGAACTGACCCATCTCACAGGGCTGCTTGTGCTGAGCACTCTGACTGCAGCTTGCTTCTGGGATAGTGGCAGCTGTGTTGGGCTGCAGCAATGGGACAACAGAGGTGACACAGAGTCATGCAGGTTATGAGGGGGTTGCTTAACAAGTCTGCCAATGCACCTACTCTCAAGGAGTTTTTTTCCTGGAAAAAAAAAAGATCTCTTTATTCTTTCATTAAGAGTCTCTATGAATGATCCGTGTTATAAGCCATAGACACTTTACCAGTAGACTGCTGAGTCAGATCAATGTTAATCTTTTCTTTGTCTCTCTAACACAGATACCTAGGACAGGAGGGCACCTGAAGAATATCATATCATAGGTGTCTCCACTAATATCAGAATATTAAATTCCAGCAGAGTAACTCTTTCTGAGCTGCCTCAGTCCCCTCAACTGATAGATGAAGATATTGGATGAGCTGATTTCAAAGGTTCCTTGCAGCTCCAAAATTTTGCAGTGCTACATTTTTATTTTGCAAACCATTATCTTCAAGTGTCAGCATGAACAATGTTTGTGCATTCCTAAGCTAGGTTACTGGAGGACAGATCTGGTTATAGGGTTTGTTATATGCCTGATGACATGTCTCAAAGAAACGCAATAGGCAGAGGGTGGGCAGAGGATGGGGGTGCATGCATCATAGCCAAAGGAACAAATGGGCATTCCAAATTATAAGATATTATTATGATGGGTCACTACACTGTGTTTCTCAAAATCTTTGAAGTTGAAGCCTGTATCATCCTCTCCTGAAAACACAGCAGCTGAGCCCAGCACCTGTCAAGTAACAGAGGCTCAGTAAATGTTTGCTGAATTGAATTGGACAAGCCTTTTAACCTCCCTGAACTTTAGTCTTTCCTCTCAAAATGGATATAATATAAATCTACCTCCAGTCGACTGTGGTCAGTTTATACATTTCTCGAGAGTAACATCAATGACATCTTTTACTGCCTATAAGTTGCCCCTCAAAGTCAAGTCGGAGCACTGCCTGAGAATTCTCAAGCCCTTAAATCAATCCCTTGTGCAGATTTGAAAAAATCAACAGATAACCAAACAGAAGAGAAGAGCATGTTTTCATGTGGCTATGAAGAAGGCAGCTCGTCTCAGATGCAGGTAATTACAGCAATTCCTTCAAATTTTACCTTTCAGCTAATCCCCCTTTAGTGAGGCTTGAGATGATTATAGGATCAAACGGCTCTTCAGTTCCTGAAATTGTGATGCCAAGGGGCCCCCCATAGCGCTTAAGCTCCACAGTGTAAATAATTGCTCCGGAACTTTCTTGCTCATCTGCAATAAATGTCAAGTAGTCATAATTGATTTCTTCAGAAAAAGAAAAATAAGACACATATATTCATACATAAAGCAGGACATTCAAAACATTATCAAAGCATAATGTCTCGGGCAATAATTATTTTGGGAAGTTGCACTTTCTTAATAGACTCTTACATTCTAATATAGGGATATAGTTGTCATCTATGCCAAGGAAGGGGAACAATGCCTAATGACTTATGTTTTAAATTTGAGTCATCCCAACTGGGCCCTTTAGACTGTGTTTGCCTGGCATTTTGTAAACGTAGATAAATACCTGTGGAATAAACCTATGGCTGAGTAGGTAATATGGGAGGAGAGAGTCACTCAGTTAATAAAGAAGAGAGTGGGCAATGTGATTTCCATTTTCAAGCTTTACATACAAGATAACGTTCAATATAGAAAAGCTGATTTTGCTAAGTGCTGTAGAGTCACTCAGTTAATAAAGAAGAGAGTGGGCAATGTGATTTCCATTTTCAAGCTTTACATGCAAGATAACGTTCAATATAGAAAAGCTGATTTTGCTAAGTGCTGCGGATTTAATATTCACAAATTTCTCACCAAAATTCACTGAGGCTTGACCCCCATAGTAACAGTGTTGAGAGGTGGGAAATCTGATTATGGTATTTGAAAGGTAGGCCTTTAGGAGGTGATTAGATTGTGAAGACTGTGCCCTCGTGAATTAAATTAATCCATTCATGGAGTGATGAGTTAATGGTTTAAAGGTTATCAGGGAATGGTTCTGATGGCTTTATAAGGAGAGCAAGTGAGCATGTTAACTCTCTTGCTCTTGACTGCATCACCACAGGACTTTGTAGAAACTTCCCACCAAGAACAAGGCTCTCACCAGATGTGTTTCCTGGACCATGGACTTCCCAGCTTTCAAAATTGTAAGAAATAAATTCTATTTCATTTTCTTATGAATTACTCAGTTTCAAGTATTGTTATAAATAACAGAAAATAGAGTAATACACTAATGATTAAAGCAAATGATAACATATATGATTCAAAGACAACAGCAGGAGATCTAGAATCCCATACATATTCCACTGACTATGTCTTCAAATGTGAGTCCTATCAATGAATTCATGGATATTAAAGCAGAGATTTGAATGACCATCTCTTCTCTTGAGAGTAAAAGCCATTGTAAGCTATGTTTCAATAGCATATACCAGGCTGTCACATTGTCATGAACTAATTTTGGCTATCGAACATGAAGAAAGACATTTGTGAATGAGATCTGCCTAAAGCATTGGCCAGAAAGATGTCATGGGCCACTTTCAGCATAGTGGGTGTTGTGACCATGTCAGGGTTGTAAACATGAAGTCTCAGAATTCAAAGGGTTTTGTTTGCTTATGACATGCTTAAAGTTCTTGAGCATTTCTTGTTTTACTTCTTGGGTCCAGGAGCTGTGAATGGTTAAGGAGCTGTTTCATTTCTGTACCTAAGGATGCAATGAAATGGTCCAGTAGCTATTTTAATAAAACAGTCAGCTTTTATAGTCAGGCTATAACATAGCAGAACATTAACAGGGCCACACTTCTGCAATGAGCAGCTGTTCATTTATGCTATGAAACCCTAAAATAAGGAGGAAAAGCTCAAGTTAATTCAGTTGTCTTTGTGTGTAGTGAAAATTTGGGTGAACATAAAAAGAGGTGTATAAAGCAACATGGAAGCAATGTGCCCTCTCTTGCCAGCACTTTATTCACTTCTGCCATAGATTGGGAGTTCTGGAATGTGGCCATCACCTCCACTTCTTGAGTGCTCTACTCCTAATAAGCTCCATACATTGAGAATTAAAGACCATCTACTACAAATGGCAGTGTTTAAATCAACATCTTAGGGTATAAAAATCATCTTCAATATTAGACTCAAATTTATATTAGCAGTTGAGAACCCTCTACATCAGGCCTAAAATAGCTCTGTTTGATGGTTCACAAACTTCTTCCAGGCTGCTGCTTAAGTTGTGATCAATAGGTTGGTGATGACCTGCTAAGGGCTCCTAAGAGAAACATCAGGATACAAGGTGATCAAATATTAGGTAAAGGTCAAAGATCTAAATTTTCCTACAGTATGATATTTTGTCACTCTTCAGGGATGACTTTGACCTAAATGAATGAGGTATTATTGGACAGACTGCATGTACTTTGCAGCCTGCACCACCAGCTATATTCTGGATAAAATTCTGGATGAGTCATTTGAGCAACCCCTGGCATAGTTAAATTTGAGTTCTGTTGGGCACTCTGTTGGCCATTCAGTGTGGGTGTGTATGCCATTGGAAAAACCTCGACCCTTAAATGCTCTCCATATAGGGCAAGCATGAGCACAAGTTTGTCCATGGGCACAGAGCATTCTAGGTTTGGGCATCAACTCTTTATGGGACTTAGGGAAAATGAAAGTCGACCAGCACCTGGAGACTCAGGAACCTGTGGGAGGTTTCAGTTGAAACTTCAGTCCATATGAAAACAAGTACTGGTCCATGCAAAGATGAGTTTGGGCACAGTCACACTTGGTGGAAGAAGGGGAAGACCTGGCTCTAGATGGCCCATTTTTCAAGCAATCCAGAATGAACACTGTTATGTTTGGAAAATTCTGTACCTTGCATCACAAATATGACAAAATAAAACCAGGGATGGAGTAAATGGGTTTAGGACAGTCAGTTTCAGGCTGTCTTAGGTGGGAACATTTTTAAATAGGCATCTGAGGCCTTGTTATAACTAGAAGGCAATTGTTATGGTTTAGATAGTGATGGAGATACAAATTAAAAAAACGGCAGTATTGTAACTCAGAAGGACCACCTTGTGGGAGGAAACAGGATGAAGTGATGCTGTATTGAGATTATGACAGAAATGAAAGCTGATTTCTGATTTTTTCACCAAATAAATTGCCAGAAACAAAAAAGAGAAAGGGAGATTTAAGAGATGTTATAAGCAAGAGCAATGAGTAGATCTTTTGGGATCCTAATTCAAACAAACCAACTGTTTTTAAAAAAAGCTATCAATCTCTCTGTCTGTCTGTCTATCTATCCATCCATCCATCTACCTACCTATATCTATCTGTCATCTATCTATCATCTATGTGTGTATGTATCTATCTACCCATCTATGTATCTATACATCTATCTGCCTTTTTATATGTACTTACATATGAAAATCAAGGAAATGTAAGCATTAAGTGAATATTTGATGATATTAAGACTTATTGCTAATTTTAAAAAATGTAATGATGTTATTTAGTTATGTGTTTTATTTTATTTATTTATTTATTATTTTTTTTTTTAAAGATAAGTAAGGGGATCTTAACCCTTGACTTGGTGTTGTCAGCACCACGCTCACCCAGTGAGCTAACCAGCCATCCCTATATGGGATCCGAACCCATGGCCTTGGTGTTATCAGCACCACACTCTTCCGAGTGAGCCACGGGCCAGCCCTGGTTACGTGTTTTAAAAGAGTATCATTTAAGGATACATTAGCAATATTTACAATATGAAATGACATGATACTTGAAATTTGTTCAAAATAATCCAGTGTGTGGGTGGGTGAAGAGACTAGACTGGGAATATAAATGAAGCAAGATTGGTCATAATCTTGACACTGAGTGATGCATGATGATCCATTACACTATTTTTCTTTATTTTTATATGTATTTGGAATTTCATAACAAGTTTTTAAAAAGAAAATAATATTAATTTCCTTAGAAAACCCCATGTGGACACCTGAGTAAACAGACATTTAATTAGTCTGGCTTCTTTCTTTACATAGATGATGGCGGTGGCAGCTGCCTGCGCACAGTGTTATCCAGACCATATGGCCCGTCTGCCCACAAGGCAAGGTTCCCAGGGCATCCCACTGTCACTCGCTCACAAGGAGGTCCCCATTTTGACTCTGCCCAGTTTTTCATAGCAATGGTTTCTTTTTTTTCCTTTTTTTTTTGTCTTTTTTTCATGTCTGGCAACGGATCACAACCCTCAGTGTCGCGCTCGTACCAGACCGGGACCGGCAACGGGATCGCAACCCTCGGCGCTGCGCCCGCACCTCGCTCAGCCAGTGAGCGGGAACCGGTCTGTATGTGGGATCCGAACCCTCGGCGGGAGCGCCGTTCTGCTCTCAAGCGGCGCACTGTAGCAGTGCGCCACCGGGCCGGCCCATAGCAATGGTTTCTTCCTAAATGGTTTTCCTACTTGGGATTCAGCCTTTGCCCTCCCCACCCACATCTATTTTTACCAGTGCTGCCAACACATAATTCCTTCCCTTTTCTTCCCAGAATACTTTTAAAACACAAATCTGAATGTTACTATTTTATTGGAAGCTTTTCATTGGTTCCCCAATTCCTTAACAATGAAATATAACCCCTTTGTAAGAGCTGAGCTGGAGCCTCTCTCTCCAGAGGGTCACACATCCTCCCCCAACCCAATCCAATCTCCTAAATTCTCTCCTCATCAAACCACTGCAGCTGCTTAAAAAGCACTTTTCTAACATCTTTAACACTTGCACATGTTACTCCCTGTCCACAAACATCTTTCTTCCATTTGTTCCCCTGGAGAATTTCTATTCTTTTTTTTTTTTGTCTTTTGTCTTTTTTCCGTGTCCGGCAACAGATCGCAACCCTAGTGTTGCCCCCGGACCAGACCGGGGACCGGCAACGGGATCGCAAGCCTCGGTGTTGCTCCCACGCCTCGCTCAGCCAGTGAGCGGGAGCCGGTCTGTATGTGGGATCCGAACCCTCGGACGGGAGCGCCGCCGCGCTTCCCAAGCGGCGCACTATCCAGTGCGCCACCAGGCCGGCCCCTGAGAATTTCTATTCTTACTTCAATACTTGGATCAGATGTCTTATCTTTCAGGAAGCCTTCCTGGCTCCTCAGCTGGATATCCTACAGCTCCTGTGAATTCTTCTAGTATTTCTCAACTTTTTATTTTCCTTCTTGTTCCCCACTAAGAGAAAAGTTAAATTAATTTTAAATTCTCCCTAATGAGAGAAAT